CTTGTTTAATAACCAATCAGATGCAAAAGCGACACAAATTTTCAAGTTGGTCACGTGCTTTTTCCCGCGCTTGGCGCCAGTCACGTGTTTTTGCTTGGTGTCTTCGTTGATTCATTATGACTGTTGTTAACGTTTTCAAACGATAACTAGGCAATGAACACGTTCTTCACGAGTTATTGATCTTTTGAGCTGAAACACTAACAAATTTTCTTACCTTATCTAGGCGATTAATCCAGTTTGGCATGGTAACAGGAATTATTCGTCGCCTTCATAAATACCCAGTACAGCTAACAACACCAGAGACTGCGTCACTACCCAGAAGCCACCACAAGTTGAGAGGAAGGCATCGAGACTCAGACACGAATAGAGTCAAACTCGACGACAAGTAAGTTTAACAATCTTTCCCTTGTTACAGTGTAATACAGTTGAAGAAAGATGTTTTTTCATCACTAATTTGAAATAAGCCTATTGCAGCTAGGCCATTTACTTATATGAATCACAAATAACTCAAATATGTTTTGACGGTGCTCGAAGCCCAGTCAAAAGTCTCTTGAGTGCTTTAGCCCGGTTCTTGCGATGACGTCACTAGTAGCCCGACCCAGATCCCACTTTGTGCGGTCGTGAACATAGAAATGACAAGTTCAAACGCCCGTAGAAACGCAGGAATTTTATCAATCGAGAAAATTTTTTCGCTGAGGTGATTAGGGAAACTAGTAGATTTTATCATAGAGAAAAACTCGGGGAGGTTAGTGGCACTTTAAAGAATGCCAAAAACGGAAAAAGCATGTCGCAAATATAAAAATGGCCAATTTTGAGGCCCGTTTCAATTGTCAAAAAAATTGTATAGGAAGAGTTGTAGGAGAGCAAGACCTCGAATGGAGGCAAACCACCATTAAATCTTTCAGGCTTTGTACACATCTGCTATTCAGTAAGTCAATTACAAACCTGAAATTGCTTCTNCAGGCTTTGTATACATCTGCTATTCAGTAAGTCAATTACAAACCTGAAATTGCTTCTTTTGGCTTATTCCTAAACAGATGGTTAGATGGAAATCATAATTATGATGAAATTTGCTGTAAAACAGGTATTGTTAGTTTGTATTGTTCCCTAAAACCATTAGAGATCTTTTTCAAAATATGTTAACCGGTTTAAAGATGATTTCCAGTCGGTACTGCACACTCTCGAGAGTTTGTTTACGTTTTTGCTTTGATTCATGTAAGACGCCACAGAATGTAACATTTCGCAACCACTTACATGAAGTGAATTCAAAGTTTCATGTCAACCGCCATCATGAATGCGAAGCTTAATGCTTCATTATTTGTGATATCACTTGCTAATTTAAAAAAACTTC